TCGGGAATATCGAATCTTCTTACCGTGCTCTATAACGAGCTTGAGCTTCGCGCTTGGCCTCCGAGTTGGCTTTCGTAGGCTTAGAGCGTCCGGTAGAGGCGTCAGGCATAGAGCCAGTGCGAATAGAGACAGTGGTGGAGAGAGAGAGCCGCAGAATGGTCGAAGTCGGAGTCAGAAGCAGCAGAAAGTCGTGGCGTACTTCACGCTTCGAAGAGGCATCTTCAGGTCGATGAAAGCCGGTGGGAAAAAGCCAGGAAAATTGGAGGAGCAGCGTGTAACGTATAAGAAGCATAGAGCAAAGGGACTTGGCATACGGCGTCCACCAAGTGTTGAAAACAAGAGGTCCGACAAAAACGGATAAGCCGGATCACCTCAAGTTGGCGACAAGGAATGGGGTGTTGGCGGTCGCGCACGGACCTTTCCTTTCCCACGCCCACGCCTCCATCCCACCCTCATCTGAGTATGGCAACGAGGCCGCCGCTAGCCTCTCTTCCCGCCGTTTCCTTCAACCACTTGTCGGACTATCTTATCGTACTGACTGGGTCCTCCAAGGACATTCTCATCCGCCTCCCCTGCTTTCAGCAAAATCCCGAAGACGAGACAAGTCCCAAAGGCATTGTCGCCTACATCGTCTTTGATGCCTGCGGGGTTTTGACGAACAACTGCACGCCGGAAGGCGGTAGTATGCTGGAATATCACGGCGCGCGGATGCCTGTTGTCCGGACGACGCGTCCCCCAACAAAGGGCAAGGCTAAGGCTAGGGCTAAGGGTAAGGCTAAGACGACTAAGGCTAAGCCCAAGGAGGACGAGGGCTCAGACGGTGAGGGGGGGGACCCGAAGCGCTGGCGGACCACGGAACGAGCAGACATGGTCTCTCTCATTCGCCCCGGCGTTTATCGTTTCTTTCTGGACGCAGACGATAAAAGTGCCGAAGTCAGCGTCTCCTCCATCTTTGGCGAGTGGGAGCTGCCCAGTGTCATCCCACTGCACTGGAGGAGAGACAACAAGCTCCTCGTCGAGCCGGCGGCGGGGATGTCGCAGATTAGCAAGAGGGTCAAGGACGTGGACGAGATCTGTCCGTTCACGCGGCAGACGAGCGGGCGCGAATCCTGCCATTTAATTCCCAAGGCCGAACAATTTTGGGTGCGGATCTTCCATGTACATACCCCCCCGTCAGAATCTGACCTCCCTCCAATAGTTCGAAGAGAACATATTGGCTGCGAGGACCGGCGACCCTCAATCGCACGTCAATTCGATGAACAACATCATGAGCCTTCGAGGAGACCTGAACAAGCAAGGCCTCGATTCGGCTCACTTCGTCTTTGTGCCCGCTCTCTCTCGACTCGACATGAACCCGTACATGTATGACCTTCCAGAATTTGACGAAGACGCGCCATCAGAGGACACCCTGGAGGACGCCCTCAATCCCCCATTCATGGTGTTCTTCCTCGATGTCTATTCCCTCGACCTCACCCATAGCCACCACATGCGTGAGTTGGCTGTACCCGAGCGGATCCCTGGGGAGTACCTCTATGCCCGGTTCGCGTACAATGTATTCCTCGCCGCCCGTCGTCGTCATCGCGCCGGCCTGGTGGGCGACAACGACGATTTTCTACCACCCTTCGACCGCTTCGAGCGCCGCGATCAGGGCGACGATCACCCCTTCCGCGATGCCCCCCCTGACACCGACGACCCGGACCGCGAAGGCAGAAGGAGCCCACCGAGGCGTGACGGGCTTCGCTCGGCCGGCAAAGCGACCGACCAAACCCAGCCTGTCGCGGGCACCAGCAAGGCCGCCACCAAGCAACGCACCTCCTCGGACGCACCACCACCGTCGAAGAAAGCGAAATATATGCATTCCCAAGAAAGCGAGGATCTGGATCTCAACCCGGCTTGGAGGAACGAGTTCCGGCTGTTGAAACTGGAGCAGTACGATCGCACGCTGATGGACCCCAAAGGTGATGCACTTTCTGTCCCCCATACGCTCTTTAATTTGTCTCAGTCCCGCGGCCGATCCTTCAAAACGCGCAGTTCAACGGGATTGAACCCGGCTTCTCCCGGGCGTTCCGCGCGGCCTACGAGTGGACGCAGGCCCACCCCGTGGACCTCTCCAACGGTACGGTTGGACGCGTCGGGGAGGAGGATCACATCAACGAGGGGCTCGAATATCAATGAACGGTCGAGGAAACGACTTCGCGTCGACGTGCCGCATCACGTCTGTACCACTACCTCTTTCTTGAATGTCACGCGCTGCGATACCACTACCTCTGCTCTCGAATGCGACGCGCTGCGTATCTGTAGATAAACCTCGGTCTTGTTGCGAATATTGAAACATCAGAATTGTCTTTTTTTGCGATGGCCGACATTAGAATAAAACAAAGTTTTTTTTTCCAACGCGAAGAGCATACATACGGCGACCTATCATGTTTCTAGGGATCCTTACACTCTGCGGGGGGCTGCGCCGAAGTGGAATCTCCACTTCATATGTTTCAATATACACGTTTCTCTGAATCCCCACTTCAGATTTCAAACAATAAACACAAGTCGATTCTCTAAAACTACTTGAATTACAATCCGAGACACGAGCTACGAACGAAACTAGGTAGATATATAAAACAAAACGGGTCTGACAAAACGGGTGATACAAACAACGCTACAAAACAAACGCGTCTGGTATAAGTCAGATAACAGGGTTGAGGCAACGCTGGCAACAATGATACAGCGACGATGGATGTCGAGGGATTTTGACCAGGGAAATGCGCTTCGGGGTACGATAGAACTATTACGCTGTTAGCAAGTACCATATGAGACAAGAGATTGGCGTACTTCAGGCTTCGACGACCTCGGTGTCCCACGGCCGAAATGAGAAGGGACGGGGAGGGAAGGGAGGAAGAGGAAGGGGGATGTATGGAGGGGACGGGAGGAAGGGGAAGGGGAAGTGTATGGAGAAAGCGCCTAGGTCTTGCAGGACCCAGGGAAAGAAAGCGCCCAGGTCTTCGAGGACCCAGGGAAAGAAAGCGCTTAGGTCTTGCAGGACCCGGGGAAAGAAAGCGCCCAGGTCTTCGAGGACCCAGGGAAAGAAAGCGCCTAGGTCTTGCAGGACCCAGGGAAAGAAAGCGCCCAGGTCTTCGAGGACCCAGGGAAAGAAAGCGCTTAGGTCTTGCAGGACCCGGGGAAAGAAAGCGCCCAGGTCTTCGAGGACCCAGGGGAAGAAAGCGCTTAGGTCTTGCAGGACCCGGGGGAAAGAAAGCGCCCAGGTCTTCGAGGACCCAGGGGAAAAAAGCGCTTAGGTCTTGCAGGACCCGGGGAAAGAAAGCGCCCAGGTCTTCGAGGACCCGGGGAACAGGAAGGGAGGGGCGGGAGGAGGGAGAGGGCAAAAGAAAGGGGAGACGGCAAAGGAAAGGGGAGAGGGCAGATGAGAGACTGGCGAGGAGGGCGAGGAGGCGGACGAGGGTGGGCGAGGAGGCGACAATGGGGAGGCAGTGGTGGTGGTGGTGTGGAAGAAAGAGCGACGTGGCATTGCGCTTGTTTGGCCCGCGCACGGACCTTTCCCACGATCACGCGCACATCCCGTCTGTCAACGCGCCAGCAACCACATTCTCGCTGGCGCGTCGGCGACTGACGACGGCGCGATACGTGAGTCTTACCACAGGCCCTACGGAGGCGATGTGGCTGAAGATATGTCCCGCGTCTTGAATCCCTGTGCGCCTTTATTTTATTTCTTTCCTTTTTTTTAAAAACGTAGACGTCTCTAGAAAAAAAGAAGACCCTCTGGGCACGTTACCTTCGACCGCAGCAGACCAGCGCTTGTTCCTGTACCACCACCAACACCATTATGTCGAGCCCCACTCACCACTTGCGAAGCGGCGACGTCCCCAGGGACCCGTGGCCCAAACCCAAGCCTCACACCGACCTGTACAACCCCGTGGAGTATAAGCCCCAGAAACCGCTGCGTGGACACGACAATTGCACTTTCGACCTTTACCCCCACGACGGATTTCTGGGGCACAAATTCCAGAACTCTGACAACCGCAAGAAGTATTACACGGCGGCTGAGGGGCGGGACGGCCCTCTCGCTATATTCACAGAAAGGTACGTTTCCCCTGAAGTCTAGGCTACATGAAGCTCACCATCACCATCAGCTCTGCAGGCTACACCGCTCAGCGCACCGCCGAAGACGCTCAGACGCACGACAACCGCGCAGAGCTCGACGACTACCTTACGCACACGTTCTGCATCCCCAAGAGCCCACCGTGCAAGCTCGCGCGCGCTTCCCCTGCCAACGATGCCCCCTTCAACGCCGTTGCTGGCCCGAGCAACGACCCCAGCGCCAACGGCAGCGGTGAGGATCTGGACGACAACGGCCGTGGGGAAGACCTGGACCGAGGCTGGCGCCACCCCTGCTGGTGGTGCTTCAGCGACGTGCCTGACCAGCTTGCGTTCATCACCCGGGATAAGTGAGTCGTTCCACCATTCCCGTGCCTGGCGAGCTAACACCAAGGAATCCAGATTGACTATCGACCGCGCCTTGAAAATGGGCCTCCGCGTATCGTTCCGCTCGCAGTTCAAGGACGCCGTCTTGAGAATCCGCGAAATTCTCCACCTCAATCCCGGTGACCGGCCGCTTCATGTGCTGCAGGACGGGGATGTTCTGGAAAACTGGTGCGTTGTCTTCTTTCCTCCATAAGCTGACAGCAACTGACTTGGGTGTTTGCAGTGATCTAGCGTACGCCGCCTACTTGAAGAGGGAATCGAAGGGCACCGTCTTCTGCTGCTGCAAGGATATCAATGCCGTTGGGGCATACGTCGAGCTCCTTGCTGGACTCGCATAGCTATTGATCTGTCGCTCGCATACTCCTCCTCCCTTGCAGAATCCTGTAGTATAATGTAGCATAATGTACTTACTCCCTCGATGCAAAGTCGTCGCAAATTGATTTTTTTTTGTATGTCTGAGAATAAAAGGCACCAGTGTGGTAATGGGCTAAAGGTATTCAAGAAATGGCCCTCTGGCGTAGTGGTAACGCTTCGTCCGAGTCTTCCCCAAGGTCTTTTCAAGTGAAGGTGCTGGTTCGACTCCGGCGGCGGCCTTTTTTTAGTTCTTACTTCCATTTCGGGCAGGTCGCCAACTCGGGATGATGGTCACCAACTCGGGATGATGGAGATTGTCCGTTTTTGTCGGTCCACTATTTTAAACCAATCTTTGGCTTCCACCCACCAACTCTTTGCTCCCTACGCTTTTTCTTGCTTCTCCTCGCCTCCTCTAATTTTTCTGGGAGTTTAGGACTGGTTTCGCCCGACACGAAAATGACTCGTTTGAAGGCTGACCAAAGCCACTATCTCGTACGACTTTTGACTCCGACTTCCACCTTTCTGCGGCAAACTCTGGCTACAACTCTCTCTCTTGGCTCTATCTGCATGTCTAAAACCTCTACTGGTCCCCCTACGGCTACGAAAGCCACTTCAGCGGCCAGGCGCGAATCCCAAGCGCGTTATCGAGCGAGGTCAGTATATTCAATGTTCTGTCCTCTTCATGCACCAACGCGGTCCTGACGCTTGGCCCTCGGACAGGAACAAGGAGGAACTACGCCAAAAGGCCCGTGAAAGCATGGCCCGACTTAGGGCGGAACTCAGCCCGCACGACCTCGCGGAATACAAGATGACGGCGCGTGAGGATAACATTCGCTACCGCGCGGAAAACCGAGCGTTGCTGGCGCACAGGGCGGTGGTGCGGCGTGCCAGGTCCGTCCGCTTTATGTCGCTCGCCGTGAACCGTATATTCATCCAGGTTAATCCAGAATCTCGATCGCGAAGATCGGTTACGACGCCTGGGCGGCTAGATACCAAAAACGACACAACCGCCCCGTCCCTCTCGCTATACAGGTGGAATATCTTCATGAGACGAGCCCAGAGGCGGGGTCCCGCTCTCCAACGCCATCCCTGTCCGAGGTGGAGTCCCGTTCTCCAACGCCATCCCTGTCCGCTCCTTCCGCCCAATCGACCCGTTCGACCCCGGTCCAGGCGACCGTACAGTACTCCCCTCCTCCACCACTCGGCTCCAGCTTTGGTTCCTGCCCCTTTGCGAATATGGCCACTGAGGACGCACGGGTGCGTTTCAATATCTCCTCAACTCATTTTAGCGCTGATTGGTTTTCAATTGCAGAAAAAAGAAGCGCGCACCTTAAGTTTACCCCCCAGCAGCGCTCCTAGCTCCAGCAGCGGAGCGTCGGAAGACGGGTACGACGCAGACGCAGACTTGGTCAAAACTCCCCGGCGCCGCAATGGGATCAGCGAGCGCGAGCTTGTCCGTACCAAGGTAATCGCGTGGCTGCCGAGGAAGGCGAATTAAAATACATGCATGTATGGTTAGCAAGAATGCGATTTTTTTCCCTTGGTTTTATTCTTATTTTGTGCTAAACAAGTCTTTAATCAAGAAAGCGCGGTTTTCATTCAAGAAGATACGACTATATAAGCAAATGAGTGGCCCTCAACAGCAGTCTTCCCTCAAGGTCGTCGTCGTTCAAGATATCGGCTGGAGCGAGCGACGTCAGCACACACGCAACGGCGCGCACAACCCACCCACCTAATCAACGTGCGCGTCGTTCCCGCCTTCCTCCCTCAGCATCCCGGCGAGCCAACGACGGAGCCGGTCCTCCCGACGCGCGCGGCGACGGTCGAGGCGCTCCTTCCTGAGGTTACAGTTGCAGCGGGCCATTTCGTGGCACAGAGAGCGGCAGGCGGGGTCGTGGACGTGGTGCTGCGGGGCGTTGATTGTGCTGGCGACCGCCGCAGCATTCTGCTCCATGGCGCGGAAGCGCGCAATGACGTCGGCGGGGCGTAGGAAGAAATCGACGCAGAGCGCCTCCTTCTCTTCGAGGTCGCGCTGGCTGCTCCCCCCGCTGCTGCTGGAGCTGGAGGAGTGGTACTCGTCGTCGGACGAGGGGGGCGAGGGGCATATACGGCGGCGGCCGCGAGGACCAGAAGTGAGCTCATCGTCGTCGGAGGTGGGGGGCAAGGCGCCGGAGAGCGAGATGAGAATACGGCGGCAGCGTTCCACTTCGGCCGTGGCGCGTGTACGGGACTGAGGTCGGCAGCGGCGATTATAGTCTTGCGCTGCCCGAAAGGCGGTCAAGGCGGTTTGTTTGACGCGGTGGAAGGCGGCCGCCTCATCCCGCGCCGCCCGCGCTGCGGCCAAGGTGGTTTGCTGGAGCTGTTGGAACGCCTCCTCGGAGCTACGCTTGGATCAGTGTCGCGTCGCGGCGCCTCAAAGGCAACACTCACTGGGACATGGGTGGTGGTGGTGGTGGTGGTGAAGAGGAAGGAGCGCAAGGTCGCCGTGTTTGCGAGAAGGAAGAAGAAGCCGCGGTGCCACACATTGCAATTTCTTGGACAGCTGTCTTCCTTCCCTCCGCTGTCCGTCGCTTTCATTTGAATCAATTTAATCCCTTCTACGGGCTTGTTAAAATCATCAAGATTGTGGATTGAAAGCAGATACAAGTAGAACAATTTCAGTACATACGATACATCAGGGCGCGCAAGGGGAACACAGCGAACGAAATGGCGAGCGCAAGGGGAAGAAGCCGGAGGATCGGAGACCTGATATAATGGATGAGATGAAGGGAAGCAGGGATAAACGGGAGGAAATACCTATACATGCGACGACGGCAGCCAAGAAGGACCGGCGCCCGCCTGGCCCGCCGCCGCCCGCCGGTCCCGAATCGACTGGAAGCGGCGGTTGGCCTTCTGCTGCGCCTTCGCCTTGGCCTCCGGATTGGTCTGCAGCTTCTTCTTCTTCGCGGCTTTCTTGCGCGCCTTGTCGTTCTTGGCACAGATCTCCAGCTCGGCCTCCGACGCGGTGGCCCACTCCAGGTTGATGGGCTTGGCGTGCCTGTCGCAAGTCGGACCTGTATATGCGTCAGGATGCAGATTCGCCAATGGGAGCTTGACGCGCGCTTACACTTGAGGGTTTTCTTGCACTCCTCGTCTCGTTGGCGGTGCCATGCCTCCACGCAGCCCTGCTCACGAGAGCGGTCAGCCCGTTGGCCCGCTCGCGAAACAGGACGAGCGACGCACCTGATGGAAAATGGTGTCGTGGCATCCGCAGGACAGGATGACCTTGGCCGTGCCCTCTTTCGCCAAGCAGACCTAGGCGACTTGTTTGGGATCTGCAGCAGCATAGAACTGGAAAAAAAACGCACCGTGCATTCCAGTTTGCGAGCCCAATCGGGATCTTGCTTTTTCTGCTGAAAGACGCGCCGCAAGAGTTCCACAGTGGCGGTCTTGTGGTTCTCAATCTTGGGCTCTTGCGCGAGATAATTCAGGACCTTCTAAAAATCTGCGGTGAGCACGTTAAAAGAAGATAGCAAAGGTGACTCACATTCGTCCTCGCCGTGTTTAAAATATGCCCCTGATGGAAAGGCGGTAGGACAAGAGAGAACCTCGCGAGGTAAGCGAGATGGAGCTGCGTTGCTGGCGAGGCTTGCCGGCCGCCGTTGTCGAGCATCTGGACGTCGGGGTCGTGCACGATTTCGATTTCATCATCACTGACGACGGACGGGTGGTCGGCGGACTACGGTGGTTTAGCGTCGATAGCAGATGCCGACGGTCTCCCTACCATGAGCGAAGCGAGAGAGTCGAGTAGTAGAGGCAATTGACAGACCGTAAGTCGAGATGTGGCGATACAGGGTGATGTGATGCCATCACCACTCGCTCAGTTGTCGACCACCATGTCCTCCCAAACCAATTCTGCCGGCGCCGCCATGGAGGTCGAACACGATGCTTCTCTCGTCGCTCCGCGCTCTCCCACAAACTTTCCCATTCAACGTGACTCTGATCTTGAAGATTCTGAAGAAAACTTTCTCCTGGAGCTTCGGCGGGCTGAGGAAGAATTCGGGCTCCATTCTCCTGGGCTGGCAACTTCTAAAGTAGGCTGCAGATTTGCAGCCAGTCTCTGGCAGCTCTTGATTCTATGGAACAGGCTTCCGGCAAGGCTCAAGCTCGCAAACCACACACGAACGGCAAAAAGAAGCGCGATACTGAAGGCGACCGTTTCGTAGGTGAGCTGCCTGAGCAAACAGGAGAATACACACTGGAACTTGCACCAGAATCCAGCGGCAGACTGGAAGAAAACTCAGAGGGCCCTCGGAGCAAGGCAGGAATGAAAGGCGAAGGAAAGAACAGAATATAGGCAAGCAGGGATCTTCGAAGTGTCGCGGTGAGTCTAAGATGGCTCTCTTTTTTTATTTGGCGCTCTGAACTCTGACCCAGCACACCAGCACAGATTATCATACAATGTAACGAAGGAATACAGATGCAATTGAACAATAAACCGGTAAAATTTATCTCGGGATCGCCTGAATGATAGCTACTTGCCCCAAAAGATGCATCCAATCCACTGCCCGGTCGACGAGGCCCCACACCCCACCGACGCCCTGAAAACCGAAAAATTCCTGATGGCAGATTACGCATGAGCAGCGTACGCGGGCGCCCCTATGCTGCTTAACCTCCTCATGGACCAAAGCCTCTGCAACGCGCGTCGGATCGGAGAAAGATGCAAGGCTCAAAACACGCACCAAGCAACATACGCGTTGGCGTTCGGATCGAGTACCTCCACCTCAAAACCCAGTCCCTCTCGCATCTGCGGTATCCGCGCCGACGGCGCGCCAAATTTTTCGAATGCCCCATTTTTACCTCTGCGGCGGCAAGGTAACGATTTCTTGATATAGTTTTCCTCTGGTACGCACGGCGGATAGCGCGGCTGTCCCGTCGCAAGAAATATGCGTCCCCAGGTGCGTCATTCGGATACGGGTTCACACTTGAAAACGTTAGCACTAACTTACTGCGCAGGCCGCCAACTCACAGATGAGCGAGCACCCCGAACGCGGCTTGCGGACCGGCGGCGGCGCGTGCGGCGAAGAATGGCGCCAACCGCTGTCGGCGGGTGAGCGTCATGCGAACGAGTTGGACGAAGAGGTGCTGAGAGAGACGGTGGTGGTGGAAGCAGCGCGGCGGACAACGACCGCAGTGGACGACGACGAGCGTGGTGTCGGAGACAGAACGAGCGCCGCGAGCGCACGACGGGGCAGGGCGAC